TGGGATGTAAGCCATGAACCACCAAGCTCAACTGGTCTCTTTCTTTAAGAAGAAAAATATGTGTGATATGGTATGGTCCGTGGTTGCTTGTTCATTCCCGAAGCGAAATAATCACACAGAAGCTATATTATTTGCCATACCTTTTGGCCAATAGCTTAAGCATATTTCTAGCTAGCACTTATATCCTAACTAACTAATCCATTAACCTGTTCATCACCACAAGGTTGTGGCCTAGTGGCAAAGTTTCAGGCCCCTGCAGAGACGTCTGTCTCCTGTGGCAGCTATGTGGCTTCTCTGACTCTGCCTACTCTCTCTCTACATCTCTGTTTGGATTTCCCACCTGGCTTTACTCTGTTAAGACATTGGGCAAAGCAGCTTTATTCATTAACCAATAAAAGCAACACATATACAGAAGGATTTCCCACACCGATATGTGTGTGTGTGCGCACGCACGTGTGTATAGGTACACAGATAGAGACGAGAAGAGCGTGGTAGATGTCCTCTACTATTTCCCCATAGTCCTCTGGAGCTTTTACTGGGTTAGAAAAGCCAACAACCCCCAGCAATCCTCCTGTCTCTAACCCTCTGAGCTGTAGCTATAGGCGTTTCCAGGAATACCCAGCTTGTTACATGGGTGCTGAGACCTAAACTCCAATCCCCTTAGTTGTGGATTAAGTGATTTTAACTATTTAATCATATCTATAGCCTCTTTATCTCTTATTGCAATTCTGTCGTGGCCCGACGTCGGGTGCCATCTGTCAGAGTCTAGTCTCAATGGGTTCGCATATTCCAGGGTAGGGGTGTGAGGATTAGAAATATCAGGCAGGAGAACAGAGATATGAAAGAAAAAGATGGAGATGCAGAATAGAACCGGGGGGCAATCCAGTGAATACTGAACTCCCCCATGTTTATTTTCCATATGCTTATATACCCCAATTCAAAGCGGGGGTTGGGGAGATTGCCTGCTTCAATACGTGAAGCATCAAGCAACTGTATCCTGAGTGAAATAGTCTATTGTTTAGGCAGAACGCACAATGACCACATCTTAGAACAAGCATCCTGTAGGCAGCCACTCTCTGGCTCAAACCTGTCGTATCCTTGAAGGAGCAGAAATGGGCTTTAATTTTCTGACCTTTGATCAAGGTGGAACAGAACCACTTCTGTGGGCTCCTGCATCATTCCCCATGGCTCTCCACATCTTCAGATGCCCTGTCTCCAAGCTAGATGATCCTGTTCTTAACTAGCTCTCGACAAATAACCAAGAGGCTACCGTGGCATACAGAAATGGTCACGTGTATCTCACCCACCTCCCTGCAGCTCTGGGCTTCAGTGGAGAACCCCGCAGCTTACCCAGGGTAGCTATGCTCCAAGCTGCTTTAATTTTTCTGGAGCCAGCCGGGTACCAGAATGCTATTTTACTCATGGAAATGGCAAAGCTGAGACAGGACAAAACTACTGCCCAAAGGCTTGCCAGCTTCCCCAAGTGCCTTGTTATTTGCTCATTGGCTGAAGTAAATCATGTGGTCCAGCGGGGGCTCCAGCTTAAGTCAGGTGTGGGAGAATGTGCCCTGCCCACCTAAGGCAGCAAGAGTGGGCATGTGTCCTATGTCATCAAAGTGTTGGGAGTGAGAACTCTCTAGAACACACCTTCACTCTTCTCCACACCATGGTATTTTATTATTGAAATACCAGGAGCAAAAGTCCAGCATAGATAAGGCAAGCTTCTGCCTCACCCCAGAAGAGAGCCATGTAGGTTCAGAGAAAATAAAGACCGACCAGGTGGGTGGGGCTCCTCGGAGGGTCTGGAAAAGATAGAGACTCAGTCCGCCCATTTTTCCTTCCCAATTCGGGACACACCCATCAGCAGGAGGCCTGGGAGAAGATACAGGGAGGAGGTCACTTTCTCTCGGGGTGAGGTCTTGGTCCATTTTCCTCCATTCTGCCTGAGTTCAGCTGGCAGCATCCTCTAGTCCAGCCTGCTGCCACTGTTCCCACTGCCCCGGGGTTGTTGTCCCTTCAGTCAGCACCATCTGGACGCAGTTTGCTAACACTTTTATTTTGGTAGTGTTTATATTTTAAGTTTGTCTTCTATTTTTGGATGATGCCACTGGCTTCCTGTTTGGCAACACGGAGTTTCCTTTCAAATAAATATATTCAAATAAACAGTTTATGTTATTTGTCAAAGAAAGGGTAAAAAGGGGGTTGATGCAGTTGGCTTGGATTCAAATCCACAATGTCATTCCTATAGGGTCTTTGAACGGGTCCTTTCATAGCTTGCCCTGGCTTTCAGCTTCAGGGATGAAATGAGGGTGTCTTTTGAAGGTCTGTTGCGTTGCATTCCAGCTGATGCTTGTCAGGTCCAGGACATAGCAGTTAGAAGGTTTGCCCAAATCCTGAAGCCCCGGGTTCCACTCCCAGTACCACATAAACTGACTCTGGGGTGCTCGTCTATCATTCTTGGGTAAAGGCGAGGGTATCGGAACTTCAAGGTCATCCTTGGCCACATAGTGACAAGTTGGTGGTCAGCCAGCTACAGGAAATCTTGTCTCAATAACAATAATAGGCTCATGTTGGTAAGGTGTTTGACACATGGCTAATGATTATTAAACAGCAGTAGGCACAGGAACTCTCCCTTCTGGAAAAACCTTTGGGTTTTCTGTTTTCTAGATGACCATGGGACAGACAGGCCTCAGCTCAAAATAGCACCTCCTGTGCCTCGTGCAATGACTCTCACTTGGGGAATTGCCTTGCCCATGCAAGTGAGATCCTAGACCAACTACAGCAGCTGGAGGCCTGAGGGGTCTCAGAATATGAGGCCTCATGTCTCATAAGGAATCTCTAGCTGAGACCCAGTGAGAGCTTCCGTGTACAGAACTCTGCAACCAGATTTTAAAATGAGGCCCATGATCACTGAAATATAGTGACATGGCTTAGAGTGGTAGAGGGGGTGGCATTTGCCTTGTGTAACCCTAGCACTTGGAAGGTGGAGGGGCAGGAGGGTTAAGAGTTTAAGGGTGTCCTGGGCTATACAGCAAGACCTTGTCTCAAAAACTAATAAATAAACAAATAAAATAAACTCGGGACTGGCAAGATGGTAGTCATAGTTAGTTCGGCTGTCAGTTTGACCCAAACCCAGAGACACGTGGAAAGAGAGCCTAGCGACTGAACTGAATTGTCTCCAGGCATGCTGGGGCTGTATTTTCTTGACCACCACTGTGGGCGGGGCCATCCCTGGGCAGCTGGGCCTGGGCTACAGAAAGCAGTTGAGCAGTCCAGTAAGCAGGGTTTCTCCATGGTCTCTGCTCAGTTCCTGCCCCCAGGTCCCCTTGCTGAACTTCTGTGTCCCCGAAGTGTCGCTGAAGTCAACCCTTTCTTCTCTAAGTTGTCTTTGGTCCTGGTGTTTATCACAGCGACAGGCTAAGGACGCTTGCCACTAAGTGTGAGGACCCGAGTTCTATACCCAGGACCTGTGCGGTTCTTTCCGATTTCCATGTGTGCTATCCACACACACAAGCGAATAAATAAATAAGTAAAGATAATAAAAATGTTGTAAACAGGGAGAAACAAGTGAACAAGGAAAACAGCTCAGCAGGTAGAGGCAGGCACTTGCCACCGAGCCTGAAGAGCCCTAGAAGCCACATAAAGGAGAAGGAGAAAAATCAACCCTACAAGGTCGTTTTCTTACTCCACATGTATAAACACACACACACACACAGAGAGAGAGAGAGAGAGAGAGAGAGAGAGAGAGAGAGCTTTAAAAATGTGCTGAAAAAGAAAAAGAGAGAAAGAACACAGTGCCCAATTGAGACCACACAACTGTGCGTAAGTTCCCGTTGGTAGTTAGAGGTACAAGCAGGTGCCTTTTATTTTTAGTTTGTACAAGGAACACAGACCTGTGGAATTAGAAGTCTAAATCGATGCTGTAATATGCTGGGCCCTGGGTCTGAGTGTGTTCAATTTTAAAACATTCCCTTCAACACATAGGATGGCTCTCAGGCCCTGGCCTCCTCCGGGGCCCCCTAAGAGCCTTCTGCTGGACTGTCTGTCCCTCTGCTGTTTTCAGATGAGAAAAGCGAGGCAAAGGAAAGGGTGGCTTGGTGTCTTGTGGTCATTTTCCCAGGAGTTGGAAGGACTTTGGAAGTGATTTGTGTGAGGGTGTGTATGTGTATCAGTTTGGGGAGGTTGCAGGGAGGAATTGGAGGAGGGGCTATTGGGGTGGAATCCACATGTCAGGTAAGCGGGAAACCATGGAATCTGACCTTCTTTTTCATTTTTGAGTCAGGGTCTTACTAAGTATCAAGGGTTGCCTTTAATTCATTCTGGGCCTTTAATTTGGACCCTCTACATCAGACTTCTCAGTAGCTAGGATTTACAGGCGTGAGTGATATTTTTTTAATGATTTATTTATTTTATGTGCATTGGTTCGTCTGCATGTTTGTCTGTGTGAAGGTGTCAAGAACCCCTGGGATGTTTGTAACTGGGAATTGAACCTAGGTCCTCTGGAAGAGCAGCCATTGCTCTTAATCTCCCTGTGCCATCTCTCCAGCCTAATTTGGCAGAATCTTAAGACTGGTCCTGATGGTGGTCTTACCTCAGGAGAGGAACTCTTAATTTTTCAGTTACAGCTACCCAGACTTTCCAGGAGCCAGACACTGTCTAAGTATTGCTTTTAGGCCTCAGAACAAGATCCCACCATGTCTTCCGTTTTCATCAGAGGAAACTGAGGCAGGAGATATTAACAACTAGCTCACTAAGTTACTAAGAGAAAGAGAAGGGTGCTAGGAAGAAAGCGGGAATCTGGGGTCCCTGTTAAGTCAGGAGTAGGCGGGAAACAGACGGGGGGGGGGGGGGGCGATGTCTCCAGCGGGAGACTTCAGCTCCCTTGAACTTTGCGAGTGTCGCTGGGCGGCCAGCGGGCAGGAGCTGGGGGGTACCCTGCGGCCTGCCCGGGTCCCGCCCCCTGGATCGGCGGCTCCTGACATCACGGCCCGGGAGGCGGGCTCCGGAGAGGGCGGCGGGGAGGAGGCTCGTCGGCCCGGAGGGCGGAGGAGGCCGAGCCGTCCCAGTCCGAGCTTCAAAACAGCCGGCGCCTCACCCCGCGCACAACCTGCCCCTGCGTCCAGACGCCCGCGTCCGGTGAGTTGGGGGCGCGCCCGGGGACAGCAGTGATGTCGGGGTTCCGGGCTGACAGGGGCGCGGTCCGTCCTCTTTAGGCACCGGGACAGGCCCGGGGATTCGTGGGTGACAGGGAGGGGCCGGGGTGCGGTCTTTGCGGCAGCCCCGCTGCTCTTTCTCCAGACCCCTGGGGCGCAGGTCTCCCTTTTCTGGTCCCCAAGGCCACCGTGCCACCCCTGGGTGGCATCCCTCGCCTTTTGCGCCCAAACGGGCGGGAAAAGTTTGGGGAAGAGTCAGGGCGCCCCCCGCCCCCGGCTGCCACCTCTGGCCCAGTGCTCTGAAAGTCCAGGGTAGCCAGCTCACTTCTCGCCTGTGGTACTCAGCGTCTGAGCCCCAAGCAGGGCTAATCAGGCAGGATCTGCAGCGACCAGGCGAGGTCCATGGGTCCCCGTGGGCCGCTTGCTCCTCCGGACCTGGGTTCCGTGGCGCCCCACGGCGGCGAGGGGCAGCTTCTTTGGGTTCTTAACGGTGTCTCAGCGTGGGGGGAAATGCCAAGGATGACGCCCCTACCTACTCTTTCCTACTGTGGCAGATCTGAGTGCTATAAAGGGAAGGAGGCATTCCCCTGATTTCCCACAGAATGTACATGTCGGGCTTGGAGAAGGACTGAAGCTTCTAGCCTCAATTCAGGACGACCACACTCTTGGGAGGCATCTTGAATCCGCAACTTCAAAGACAAAGTGGTGGGAAGCAGTGGTTGCCAGGGGATAGGAATGGGTGGGACTTGGTAATATTTAACAGGTACAGTTTTGGTTGACAACGATGAGATGTTTCGAGTATAGATAGGTTGCTCAACATTGCTGGTTCATTTCGGGCCATCGGCTTGTACAATTACAAATGGTTTAAATCATAAAAACTAGGTGTATTTTATCACAATGAAAGGTACGAGAGACACCTCTAGCCACCGCTGCTTGGTCCTTCTGAATCAGAGACAGAAGTCCCCAAAACCTGCCCACCTCTCCCTGAAATGTCTCTTTCAAATAAGGGTAGAGGTGCAGGTTACAGGGGAGATCCAAGGAAAGAGGATGTGGAAAACCCACGGGGGTGTGCCATGGGCTCCACGTGCCTCCTCCTCCCAGAGAGCCTTTTCCTGTCCCCAGCACAGAGTACCCTCCTGTTGAAGGTGGAGAAACCTGGCTCAGAGACCTGGTAGAGTTAGGAATTCAAGATTGTGGGGCCAGAACTTCTCCTTGTCTCTCTGTGTCCTCCTCCATTCCCACCAGGAGATACCTCAGTGGGCTGCAGAAAATGGGGAGAGAACCTTTAAGAGGTGTGGGTCCCCTCCAAAGTACGTGGGCAGATAGATGCCCAGCCCACAGCCTAGGGAGGCACAGGGGGTGGCCAGAAGGTGCTGAACCTGTTTTTCCTCCGAGGGATTTTGGATCCTTACCACCCCCACCCCCACAGGAACTGAGGAGGCAGGCTGGGAGGCAGAAAGAGCCCGTCACACACAGCCCAGAGCCTTCTCTGTCCCTCAAATGCAGAAGCTGAGGCTGGCCTGCAATCTGGGCAAGGGTGTCTGTGTGGGAAGCTGGAGAAGGAGCCAGGAGGGAGGGAGAGAGGAGGGCAAGGCTGGGCAAAACAGTTCTAAGAAGACATTAGTTGGGTGGTGCTGCCCCACGGGGAGGCCCCCTCTCAAGCCGACACAGCCCCAAGGGAGGATTTAATTGTAAATACACAGCGTATCTATTTAGCAGCCCCCAGACACACATGTGCGCACGCGCACACAACCTCCTTACAGGTAATGGCATCTAGATTACTTTCTCTCCCTTTGTCTTATCTTAAGTGCAGGGAGGGCCCATTTGCCAGTGTTTTGCTTATGCGCAGGTACAAACTGACACTCTGCTGCCCCTGGTTCCCTCTCCTCTTCCCAGAGCCTCCCTGCTCATCCCTGAGGAGCAATGGAAGGCAGTTCTTTGTCACCGTGAGCTAACTCCAAGGGACACTACAGGGAAGGAAGTCTGTCGAGACAGAACTATATAAAAACCTTTGCAGGCTTGGGATTGAGGCTGACCGGAGCGTGGAGTGCAGCCACCTCCTGGGGGACAGCTAATTGATATATACTTGTTGAAATATGTGGCTGGTGCTGTGTCTGTCATCAGGTGGGGTCTCTGATGCAAGTTTCAAAAGCTGAAGTGGGGCAGGTGCTTAAGCCAGGGGTCACTCAAATGGACCTGGGCATCGAGACCCAAAGGTGGGTCGGCAGAGAGAGGCTGTGCAGGAATGTTTGCTCCTGTGTACTAGAAAGAACAGGAGTCTGTGTCTGGAAAGGGGCGGGGTACCTGTGAGAGGGTGGGAAGAAGAGGTACCCCCTCCTCACTCCATCACTGATGAGGTGCTGCCTTGCTCCCTGCAGGTGCTGCCCCAGGAGCATGAGTTAGGTAGGATGTAGACAGGCCTTTGGCAGTCAGGGATTGAACACATCTGACTCTTGTTAGGGCCAGGCCCAGGATGACTCTAAAAATATCAGAGTCAGGGCTGCCACCCAGCCAGTGGTCGCTTGTAACCCGACACCCCCAGTGAGGCTGGTGGCTGTGACAGATGGTGATGACAACACAGGCCTCTGGATACTCTGTCCCTTGAACTCCTCCAGGCTAGCCAACCTGGGGACAGATGCGGCAAAGGGAGAGTCTCTCTGCTTTCGCTGGCGTGGGTAAAAACTGGAGAATTTCGGAACCTAAAGAGTCTAGCAAACTCCTTTTTCGAGAGCTAGGCACAAACTGAGAGAGGTGGTATGAGTTGTCCAAGGTTGCACAGCCAGTTGGTGGCAGACCTACATCCCAGGAAGTGGTCAGTGGGACTCCAGCCTCATGGTTGCAGGAGTCTTGTAACATATGTCGTGTGTCTAGTACTCTGGAAGAGGAATGTTAGGCCAAACATTCTCAAAGAGTGGGTCACTTTCCTTAGAGCATCTGGGATCTTTCAGATGCAGCTGCCAGGCTCTAGAGAAGCTGGCTCATCTTGGAGCAGGATGTAGGGAGGAGGGAGGCTGGAAAAGAACCAAGTAGATGGTCCTTCCTCTTCCCAGCTGAGGTACCATTGGCTCCATTCCTTAATAAGTAAGTACCTGTCAGATACTGAATGGAGCTCCCAGACGGTCACCCTCCTTGGGCAGCCAGGCTTCTGTTCCATGGGGGCTGAGAGCTCTAGAGGGAAGAGAAGACGGCACCAATCTTTTCTGTTTATTTTTCGGAGACAGGGTTTCTCTGTATCCCTAGCTGTTCTGGAACTTGATCTGTAGACCAAGCTGGCCTCAAGCTTGGAGATCCATCTGCCTCTGCCTCCCGAGTGCTGGGATTAAAGGTGTGCGCCGCCACCACCCACCTTGGCTGCTCCATTCCTGCCAGTCTTGACTGCCCCAGTTTTTAGAAGGCTCCTAAGATTTAGGGTTTGGAGCTGAGTGAGGAGTCACCAGTGTGATATTTGGTGTGAAATCAGGGATGCTGGACACCGGTTACGGCGCACGATGCAGGTGCACTGCAAACAGCTCATAGTCTAAGACGGTGTCCCCCCGTAGCAGAGTCCCCCAGGTAACATTTTTCTTCCCTTTAACAAATGTTGCTGTGTTTATTTTGTGTGTGTTGGCGTGTACACATACCATGGCGTACATATGTGGAGGTCAGAGGACAACTTGCAGAATTTGGGTCTCTTCTTCTACCTGTGGCCCCTGGGGATTGGACTCAGGTCATCGAGTGTGGCTTGCTCGTAAGTGCCTTAATTCACTGAGCCACCTTGCTGGTCTTCAATTTTCCTTTCTGATAAGCTGTCACAAATCGTCTGACCTTGTCTTTCTTGAAAATAAAAGGATTTTTAAACATTTCAGAGTTAAAAAAATACAGTGAAAGATGATCTCATTGATTTGAGGTAATGAATTTTCCTCCAAGTGTTATGCATTTCTGTTAGTGCCCAAGCCGATTCTAAAATTAAAAGTCTATGGCATGATGTAAAAAGAAGAAAGATTAATCATCTGTTTTCCTTGATTGGCATTTGAAAAACTTACAAACATCATATGAACTTATAATTTCACCAATACTGCTGTGTGGGGTCAAATTTTTATAGCTAATGTTTTTTAAGCTCTGAAATATTTTTTTTTTAGTTAGAGTAATCAATAAGCACAGGTGATCTCAAGCTTTGGCAAAAATCTTAGTGGCAGGGTGACTGCCTTTTAAGAAGGTGTTTTCTAGTGGGGACTGAAGTGGACGCATTTCACACATTTTAATATAACATTTGAAAAAAAATTTTAAAAAATAATATAACATTTGTATTAATTTCTGAGAATTTAGTACATGCTTGCAATGTATTTTGATCACTTCACACTTTAAATAACTGATTTATTATTATTATTATTATTATTGTTGTGTGTATATGTGAAGGCATATACATGTCATCATGTGCCTGTGATAAAGGAAATATTTTGGGAGTTGGGTCTCTCAACCATAGGCCCTGGAGATCGCATTCAGGTAAAGTGGGCTTGTACCACAAGTGTTTCTGCCCCTTAGGGAGCCAGCTCACCAGCACCATTTCACACTTTTTTTTCACAAATTTTTATGCTGCTTATTTATATTTTTGGAGACACTTTTGATGAGAGAACCAACCCCCACACACCCACGAGCTACCACACACTCTCCCCTTCAGCAGAGTCCCACACCTAGCGTCAGATAGGAACCACCGACTTGGTGACTGACATTCTCCTCATCTCCAGTGAGGATCCCATGACCTTCACTGGTTGTTCTGAGGGTCAGAGGAGGTGATGGTAGATGTCCGAGGAAGGAGCTTAAAGTGTTTGGGGTTTGCTTGATGTGATGTGAGGCTGAGGGAGATGGGCTTGCGTGCTTCAGTCTTAGTCAATATCGTTAAGCAACTGTCTGCTAGGAGCAGCCTGGAGGGGGTTCCCTCTCGTCAGGGGCGCTGAGTCCAAGTGGACGTCCTGCAGGGCTGCTGGATTCCATTTCAGAGAAACT